CATCTCTGCATGCCCTAGCAAGGTTCTTGTACTCCTCAATGGGCATTTGGCTACATTTCCATAGCTGGTATGCTTCTTTTTCACTTTTAAGCACACCCAAAAGCTCATTGTTTAGCCTGGGTGGACTCTTGTTCTGCCTTCTTCCTTTCCCTTTGTAGGCAAATAGACTGTTCTTGCACTTCCAGGAGGTTGTTCTTTAAAAACTCCCAGTGCTCACAAGCTCCTTTGCCCTCCATGCATGCTTCCCATGGAATCCTTCATATGTGGGTTCTGGGCATATTGAAGCTGACTTTTCTAAAATCCAGGGCCTTTGTCCTACTACTGGTCTTCAGTGTGCTCAGCAGGATCTTAAACTTTGCAATATTGTGATCGCTGTATCCAAGGCTATCATTAGTAGTTATGTTGTCAAGTACATCTTTTCAATTTGTAAGCAGTAAATCTAGCAATGCACTGTTCCTCGTCAGCATGTCAAGCACCTGTAGCAGGAAGCAGTTCTCATGCACTCCAAGATTCTCATAGACAACTTCTGCACCACTATGTTGTTCTCCCAACAAACATCTGAGCAATCGAAGTCACCCATGAGGACCAGGTTCTATCAGACCAAGACTTTCTTGAGCACCCAAAGTGAGGTTTCGTCAGCCTCATCATCCTGGTTGGAAGGCCAGTAACACAAGTACTTAACGTAAGATTCTCCTTGGTGATGAACCATCTAGTCTTGATCCAAAGGCATTCAACAGAACTTTTTTGGTCTCCTTAGCTTACCTCCATACACTCACATTTCTCTTTTTTTATGAAGTGCAACTCCATCTCCTCTTCCTCCCTTCCCATCTTTCCAAAAGAGTTTGTAGCTATTGATTGTGAGTCTTCCCATCAAGTTTCTGCGATTCCTATCACATCGTAACTCTCAGACTGGGCATGGAGTTCCACTTCTTCCTCCTTGCTGCCCAGACTACGTGCATTGGTATACATGCACTTGAGGTAGTTGGACTTAAGATTTCTTGTCTTTTTAAAGGGCTGGGGAGCATTCCTTCCCTACTCTAGTAGGTGTACTTGTCTACCCTGTTGCTTATAAATACATAGGCGTCACAGTTCTGGATTGTACGTGACACGTTCATTAGTTTAAAGTACAATTCACTAAGTCAGCCAATCTGCTAGCAAGGGTAGGCTGCATGTGATTACTCATTTGACCATTTCCCATAACATTTCAGGATTTGTGAGTCCCCTTTTACAGACAATTCATGTCAACATTGTGTCAGAAACAAGCACAATTAACACAAGTCCTAGAGGAGCTGTCTTGTTTCAGTGGAGGCATGATAGACAACAACTCCCCTAAGTGTGCTGGACTATTAAATCAGTAGCTATTAAGTGGGTACTGTATATACTCAAGCATTGCTGGCTAAAAGGAAAAAAAAAAAAAACAAAACCAAAAATCAGTGCTACAGCCTACAGAGAAACCGCATGAGGATCAGACACAAATGTGTGACACACATGTTTAATCTCAACATTAAGATGAGACACAAACATGTTTCATCTCAACACAAGAAAAAAAATTTCAGGATGAACAATCAATCACTGGAACAACCTCCCCAGGGATGAGGTAGAGTCCCCATCACTGGAGGTTTTCAAGATGAGACGAGACAGAGCGCTCGATAATCTCATCAAGGCTCCCTTACCCAACCGAAATGTTGGGCCAGATGATCTTTTGAAGTCCCTTCAAACCTGGGCTGTTCTATGATTCTATGATATTCTGGATCTCTTAAGACAAAAATCAGGAAACTCGAGAGATAAGAAAAATAAAGAATGCAATGAACTTTTATCTAAAAACGAAACAATCATGCCTGCGTGAAACATTTATTAGAAACCTAGAGAACAGACTTTCCTTTTCGACCCTTCCACTCCAGTAAAATTATTACCACAGAAATCACAGACTTATTTATGAAAACAGAGGGAAAATATTACTAAGATAATATCAGAATTTTAATTTGTGCTTTAGGAAAACAAACCTTTGGGAAAAAAGCCAAGCTAAACATACCTCCCCCCTATACTCATACTGAGATTTTCAAAATGCCCTAAAAGCGTTAGATCACAAAACTTTATTCAAATGGAACTGGAGTTGGGTCCCTACTGCCTTTATGTCTATGGAATAAGAGCTGCAGATACCAAGAGAATTTCTAAAACACAGGTGACGTGAAGACAACCAAAGATGTAGACTTCAGCTTATCTTTCAGCAGTCAGATAAACTGCTCACTAGGAACCAAAACAGCAAAGAAAAGACATAATTCCAGCCACCACAACTGGACAACTCTTCTGAGCAGAAAGGGAGCTGTTAATGTACTTCATATTGAGCTCTACTTCCCTGGCTTCAAAATCACTTATGTACGCAGAACTTTCTTCTCTGAGAAAATTTATTTTCTACATTGTGGAATGTTCAACATGAAGAAGAAAGATTTTTTTGTTTGTTCATTTGGGTGCCTTTCCTTTTTTTTCCCCCTTCTATGAAAAACAAATAACAGGGAAAAAACCCTACCGTTAAAGAAAAACTGAAAGGCATTTTGGCATACTTCACTACTAACACAATAGTAAATAGACACATGTATTCTTGAAGGATTTGCTTTGGCAAGGTACTTAAGCATATGTCTCACATAAGAAATACCTCAATGAACCTCTGTATCTTGAAGTTAAGCAAGTATTTTAGTCACTGAGCCTGAGTCAAAAGAATTACAGGGAAAAAAACCAAACATCAAAACCAATTTGACAACTTACTAAGTAGACATCCAAAACGGAAGCATTATCATTTTCCATTTCCAGCGTGCTTTGTTCTGAAGTCAAATAGATGGCACTGTCTTCTAAAGTGAATGTTGAACTCGAAGGCAACCCTTTACTGCAAACAGAAGGGAGACTACCGTCAACTAAAAATACAAGTTAGAGAGAGCTCACTCACAATAGAAAATGTTAAAATATGTTTCTCTCTCAAATGTGAAAGGTTCAAATACTTGAAAAGATGAATGCAAATGGACAAATATAGATGTGTTGACAATGGCTAGATAACTGGCAGCTCCTATTTGACTAACATACACAAACCGCAGTTTCTACTTTTGCATTAATTAAAATTTTATCAGGAAGTAATACTGCTCCTGAACTCTAACATTTACTTGAAGAATGAAACTATTATCACAGTAAATGTGGGATAATTTCATTAATTTCAAAATAAGTTACTTCCACATTGCACATGGTGTAAATTCTGGCAGCATTTAATTCAAAATAGGGAAGAAAGATTCAGTAATTAGGCACAGTAGCATTGGACTTGCTCATGCAGGTACAGGATCAATCACCTGCAGCCAACAGTTCAGAAGGGAAAGTGGGAGAAGAACAAGAGAATACTGTAATTAGTACAGTTCTGCAAGGAAACGGTATTTACAGAGCAGATGCACTGTATTATTTCATTCATAGATATTACTTTTTTGTTCTCTGCTATGCAGAAAGAATGTGAAACTGCAAATGTACCCGCACAAGAATCTTGTTTTGTTTTGTAAACACACTTGGAACCACAAAGCCGAAGCTCTCAAAGGTGTTTTAATGGATTTGGGTGCCCATTATCATCTGTCCTCACTATCTGCCAGAAACTAATAGACTCCAGGCTGCCTTGAAATCTCAACTGTCAGTTTTGTGGAAGCATTGTTTTTAAAAGGTCCTATCTATTTACATACAAGGTGAAAAGTAAAGAATTCTGCATTATAACTGGGTATGAAAACATGGTTACAGCCATCAGTGCAGAAATGACTAACTTCCGCCTCCTTTTGCAGTACTTTGTAGTTTAAATATGTTTCAGATGGGTTATAGTTTCAGGAAAGGCAAAGCTAGTATGCAAAGTAGAAAAATCCAAATGCTCAACAAAATAATGAAACATCAGTCATCCTCATGTCATATTAGTATTAAGTACACAGCATTACATTTGCCACTTACAATGTTCCTTTTATTATATAGTGTACTAGGCATCTTTTCAACATCAAGACTATTTCTTTTGTGAAGTGACCCAGCTCCCACTAACTTAATACTTTTCTCACACCCATTACTTGTATTCAGTTGAGCAACATTTCAGTCACATCGGTTTTCTGCCAATACTTCATTTTACTGAAGGGCAAAGAGCAGACAGGAAGGGAAAAAATGGTTTGTTGCTAAGTGTTATACTATGCTTTATCATCTCTCACAAAATAAGCTCTGGCACGAAAGATACTACTCTCAGCGAAAGGGTGGTGGGGAGGAGACAGTCACTTCTGCTTGCAGAATTTTGATCTCTGCTGTTGTACAGTTCAGGCTTCTGAATGTGTAAAGACCCACATATGACAACCAGGTGACAAGATGAGTGTGCAGTGAGCAGCTACTACTGCTATAAAAATATGCAAACCCAGTGGCCAACCCTTCCTTCTGCGAAATAGTGCTCTGCATTACTAACTGTAAAGCCAGTTGGGCAGGCTGTGGTGGACACCTGGCTTTCATTCCCGCATCAGGTTAGGTTTAAAAGCAAAAAAAAATATTGAAATAGTTATTCCTTTCATATACATATCAGGCCACATTACTGTCACCTTTACTGCTGTTATTTTTAACTTCTTTCACTCCAAGAAAAGCTCTGGAACCTGTACTCAAGACCAGGTGAGGAGTCTGCAATTCACACCAGTGGCATTTTATTTTATATCCTTCATGTGTCAGAAGACTAAGACCTCGTCCTCCTGTTATTTCAGTTTTATACACTGGCTTACTGTGACACTTTTTTCCCCTCTCTTCTATACTTTTCCGTTAGAAGGCATTGAGCTTCTTTTGCTCTTAGTTTGTTTAATTACAATCTATGTTGCTTCACAGCCTGCTGTGGATAGAAAACAACAGCAATGTGAGTTCAGCACTCAGTCTGGGGATTACTAAACTGCTGATTTTACCTATAACATAGAATAAAGACGATGTCATCTGCCTTTTCGAGTGTGCCTCTGTTTTTTTTTTCTTTCC